GCAACTGAATTGAGACCCACGATTAGTAATTGCCCGCTTTAGCTATTATGTTAGCTAACAGTGTTATATAAACACAATATTATGTTTATTTAATTTAAATCTCAACTAATACATAATTGGACTATTAACAGCAACTTTCACTTGCCTAATTTTTCTGTCGGTCAACAGAGTGAGTGAGCACTGGGGAATAACGAATTTTCACCCAATTATCAAATTAGTCAGTTTTTGAGACAAACCGACAAATTGGGAGCTAATAGCTTGACAGGAAGGTCTTAGTAGAAACGACTCCTTGTGTTTATGTTAGGACTTCTTCTACTTGTGCGGACATCCCAAGATGTAATTGTGCGGTGATGATTTACAGCATGACTACGATGCCTTTCGGCCGACATATCCGTCTTTTTGCAGGCATTTTCAGGAATTCCAGAGAAATTAGACTAAAAAGCGCAACAAAATGGGGAAGCAGAAAAACGTGCACAAAACAGCACAACATGGCAGCCTTTTTTCAAACATAAGTGAACTACACAAAGGTAACAACGAGGAGAGGAAAGTATGTAGATCTCTAAGGGGTGACGTGACCACAGTTCAAAAAAATGTGATGTGGAGATGTGGATTTGATCCCACGAACTCCGGGCCTACAGGCCAATGTCTGGCTTGTGGGTCGTTTTACTGCCTAGAAATTAACCTGTTAGCCTTTTTTAGAATAGGCCGCGCGTGAGCTTAGTTCAGTGTTGAAAATGTGTCTCCACAAGTATACTGACATATTGCCAGCAGGGAGAGAAAGCAAGCAAGTCAAGTAGCCGTGATGTAGCTGATAGACATTTGCCTGCGGATCCGCCTGCTGGATTTTTTTCCTTCAAAAATGACCCAAGCTCCCATGTCGACCCAGCCCTAAAAATGATGCAGGTAAAGTTCTGGGAAGGAAAGGCAGCCGGCGTGATGTTGATTACATCACCCACAGAATGCTGATTGGTCTATAAAGAATAGCTCTACCCTTACATCCAAAATACCGAAAGGAGTTAAAAAAAGAGGAATTAATTTACTAGAGCAAGCATGCTAGCCAACGTTCTCGGATTTCTCACTTCAAATAATTGTTTTTTACTTGCTGAATTTGCCACTTTTAGGGCCTAAGTCTGGGGAGTTGGGGCGGCAAGGGCTTGCGCAGTTGCCACAAACCGCCCAGGTTAGGATATTCATTTTGCCCCCAGCAGAAAATCTTCGACCCTTGTCCGCGATCGAACTAGGGCTAACCACACGACAGCCAGCGCACTAACAACTCGGCTAATCGACACACACATTAAAACATTTCAGCACAGACATGATGTACGGTTCCTTGTTATTCGTGTCTATAGTGACATGTTTTATTTTTAACGACTGGCTAAGATTTATAATCATTCTGAACTCAGAGGTTTGTTATGGATGTTAAGACCTGGCTTTAGCGGCTATGTGTTAAGTATTTATGCGAAAACAGAACTTCGGGTAATTTTACGTCCTCATTGTCACAGGTGGCGATAATTTCAAGCTATTTCCAAAGTCGTTAAAACGAACTTCGTGGTAGACAGACAATGCATTCTTTAAGGGAAGACAGAAAGATTATGGGAAGGGGGGACTGAATGAACACACTAAAGAACAAATGAGTGTAATAACTGTATTTTACACCTGTCATGAATTGGGGACAAACGTCCGTCTTGCGTTTGGTTTTTCTAAACACACATCTTTCACAGACAGACAGGAAATTAGGCAAACCGATTGAAAAACTGACCTAAGAAGGAACTAGCTCATTGATTGAGAGCTGGGGTAAGGATGGCGACAGTGCTCTGTTAGTTAATCATGGTGGTTCCTATGTTGAGATACCTAATGAGGTCTACGTGATAACACTGAAGACCCAATACATACACATTTTAATATCTAAACGTTTCAAGGCGTAAGATCTGCTTAATTTCAATAGATATTAATGACTATATTATCCGGTCTCTCAAATTAAGCGCAATCTCCGCAACTCCAGCAACGACTCTTCTGGGATCTTAGTGAAAATTAACAGTCAGATCAGCGAGTCAGTCCGTGAAGCAAATGCACTTCCTCCAGAGAGTCAAACTGCTTAACCGCTTAGGAACGGAGACATTAGAACATATAAAAACAGATATACATTGAACAAGCGAAACAACTCGCAGCTCCCGTACATTAGCCATCAGCTCTACCCGTCTACTTAAGACACCGAGGTCTGTAAGTCTATAACCTCTAGAGTTCATCTGTCACACTCAGACATCGTGTTTATCTACCCGTCATCTACACTACCCACAATATTGGTTTGGCGTGCCCATTTCACACAAGGATCAGCAACTGCGTTTTTCGTACAACACTAAAAATATTTCCGAGTCAGCTACAGGAAAACACAAAAGCCAGGACAACAACAACACAGATGACACTTTTGTCAAGTCAGTGTCAAAATGCACTGACCAGTTGATTCAACTTTGACCTTAAAATGGCGGAATGAAACTGACATGTGTTTGTTGATGTAACAACAGACAACATATGTCCCAGAGGGGATGTTGTTTTATGACTGCATTCGTAAATCTGACAGGTCAGAAAGCCATAACTATTATATAAATACTTATTTGGATAAAAGCCATAACTATTATATAAATACTTAAGTACATTGAAGTACAACAAATGGCTTTGTTAAGATTAAAGTAAAAGGAAAATTTCACGTTAAACCCGCGTCGTCATTGTTGTCTTCCTGCAGTAATTTGCCGCGTTAGGCTACCAAATAGCTTAAGTGGCAGACAATGAAAACGAGAAAGAAACATGAAATGATAGGGTAGTACTTAATGCCCAAAGTCGGAGCCTAAGCCTGCTTGATACCCATACTTGGGAGTTTCCCAAACTATTTGAAAAGCGGCGGGAGAGGGGCGGGCAAAGCGTTTCCTTTTATTCTTAACCTCTTTTTTCTTTCTACTCATGAAATGACTCGCAGCGCCTCCTTCTTCTTTTCCTCTGTATTTCTTCTTTCTTCTTCTTCTTCTTTCTTCTCGTGTTCACTTTCTGATTGACACTGATAGTCAAGATCGTCAGAGCAGGAAGACATCTGTGGAACTTATCCTTCTTTCGCTTCGTATAAAGTACTTGCCAGTGTCTCTGATATTTCTGCGGTCCATGTTCTGCGTGGTCGACCTCTGGCTCTGTTACCGCTGTATCTGTATAACATTACTCTCTGTGGTGTCCTGTCTGATGCCAATCTGGTTACATGACCAAACCATTTCCCTTTTATTGATATATAAAAATTATCTTCAAGACTGACTGACTGAGGCTTAAACCCGCCAGGACCGTACGACAAGCGATAAACATACGGTGACACAAAGCGGACGAGAATAACCTAGGCGCAAGACCCAGAAACCCCGTCCAACCATTAGGTTATACATAGGACCCCTTACAAGACCCGGGATGGGCCTCTAAAATAACAAACAAAATAATTGTGTTCCATACTGGAGCGAGATTATATCACAGCACAGGAAAACAAGTGTTGCGCTTCTGAATTCTCTCAGAGCTTCAATAGCGATCTAAAGAATCATTTACTTAGTACACGCCTGTAGTTTATATGCATTTTATCCTAGTCGTGTACATAATACTCTATTGAGGTCACATCATATTTGTTGTACATTATTGTGAGTTTGCAGTGTTGTCTTTGTTTGCCGATGAAACCTAATCGCCAAAACGTCCTGTGTTGTAAATGATTATGTAATGCTGACATAAACTGTTTGTTTCTTCTTTCCCTTTCTCTGTTCTACCCTATTAATTCAAACCTTTTTTATAAAATTGTGATACGTTTAGTAACTTGGAACTGTCAGCGAATGCGGTAACCAATTTCATGAGACTCCCACACTAGGGTTCGTCCCTCGTGATGGGCGGCTGAAAAAAATCGCTGTCGTGGTTTATGGACAATGGTAAAAGAGTTGCACCCTGAAAGAAATTTGAGCCCCAATGACCAGGGCTAACAATGATGGGGTCCCCTTCCCCACCCCACCCCCCACTTCTGAGGATCCTGAAAAACTTTGGGTAGATTTTCAACTCAAAATTTTGCCCGGGAAGCGCCGTTTGGCTACTCTTTTAGATTTCCAACTGCCAAGCGATTTTTTACATGAGCAACAATTCACACGGGCGTCCGATCTAACTACCCAGAGACCAGGGGGGGACTGCTAGAAGTCCAGGTCCACGTAAAAAAAATCCTAGCACTAACCGGGAATTGAACCCGGAACCTCTAGCACTCGAGGCAGACATTTTGCCTCGAGACCACACAGCCCCCTATGTATTTGCGTATACAAGACCACACAGCCCCCTATGTATTTGCGTATACAGTTTAAATATTTGTTACTCAGCCCATTATTATTATTAATATTATTATTATTTGTATTATTATTATTGCCAACTTCTGTGGCTTGATAACGCGCTTCGTTATTCCCAGGCAATTTGACAGCAAACTACCTTGAGTTGATTTTAACGGTGGTATAGAGTCGACAGTTTGGTGGCGATGGCGAACTATTAAATGTAAATTTCACAAATCACCAACAGCCGAAAAATGTTGCAGTTGGTTTTGCAACGTCATGTACAGGATAGGCAACTAACTTTATAAGGTTATAAGAAAAAGGGAAGATGTGGGTGGTGCGGAGGGACAGTTGGTCTGTTTGTTTGCTCTCGAAATGAGGAACAGGAGGCAAACGTAGCCAAAATATATCTAACTTATGCTACTACAATACACACCATCCCCGTATGGGTTTCAGGGTACCGTTGTGGAGGGGTGCGGGTGGGGGTGGGAACAAGAATAGACACACGGCTTTCCCAGAAAGCATATCGTAGGACTCAACTAATTGGGAATCTTCCTTGCCTGAGCGACAAGGAGCAACCAACTGCACACAAATAAGCCAGCAAAACAGATCAACACGCAAAACTCAGGCTCTGGCACAATGCCTTACATCTGGTGAACAAAGAAGAAGATTAAGAATACTCACCAGCTTGCGGGAGCGCGGCTGTTGGCTTCATCCACTCGTATGGGGGCCGTAACGATTTGGCCCCTTGGTTGTTAGGGCCCATGGTTGAAGTTGTGGCTTCTCCCGGAGACGAGGAGTTCGGGGATGGCGATCCGTCCAGGCCGTGGCCGTCGACCTCATGTCCCACCTGCATATTAGGGACATAATCCAGGGGCCCGTGAGAGGGGGTGCTTCTGTACTGGTAGTTGTAAGTATTCTGTAAGGGAATAATAAAGATATTTAGTAGTGAATATATACCGAGAGAAAAGGTTAGAATTACTGTATTTTTTATTACCTATGCTAACACGGCTCGCTAGCTCAGTTAGTTAAACCTGACTGTGCGGTGACCGTGTCACGAATTCCTTGGGGTCCGGGTTCACGCCCAGGGGTAGGTAGAAAAGCCACATTTATCCCACATTTATGGTATCTATTATGGAATCAAGACCGAAGGGTTGCGATATTCATAGTACGGAGCCAAAGGGTTAACAATTCATGGTTTCTTGAACTTTAAAAAAAAAAAAAAAAAATCACCTATGCTCTGTAGGCATGGGGTGGGAGTCTCGGAGCGTGGAGATTTAAGGCCACGTGGCTAGTGTTATTGCCCCGGACTGTGCAGGTTAGGATTTTATTTTTGGTCACGTCATTAAAAGAAACAAAATCCAGGACTTTACTAAGGATTCGAACCTGTGTCTCCCGTGTGACAGCCCGCCGCGCTTACCCTTTCGGCCAGCCGTCCCTTACTAATGCATTCAGTTAGCGATTTATTTGACTTTCATTTTATGGACACGATTCTGTGGATTACCTATACACAAATACTTAACTAGTCATGTCCATTCACAGCCTTCTGTCTCGTTTACTTTGAATCCGTTCTGACACAGAGAACTTTCCGAAGTCAAAACCGTGTGGCATTCATTATTCTGTCTACCCGTTACTTTATGAATCGTGTACTTTCAAACACTCCTTACACAGATGATCTTCCTTAGTCCATACAGTGCAACATCGGTAGTCATGTCTATCCACAGCCATCTGTCTCCTGTATGTCCAGACATCGCCAAAAGAGATGATACTCCATGCTTCTTCTTCTTCTTCTTCTTCTTCCATCCTTCAGTCAGAAAACTTATATGAAGAGGCTGGTAGCCTTTATGAAAGCTATCGTGCAATCCATATCCTCTCGTGTACCATACAGTTTTGTCTTTAGTGTGGTTGGAACAGGCCAGATTGCGTCTCTGTTGTCAGCATACAGTTGACAGTGTTGGAGCACATGCTCAGCATTTTCGGGTGCCACGCTGCAGAGACACGTCTCCGTATTTCCTACACCGAAAAATGTGAACATATGTTGACGAAATATGTTGTGCCCTGTCCTTAGTCTGAATATAATACACTGTCCCTCTCTAGAGAGGCGATGAAGTGAGTCTTGGGGAGAAAATCTGGTGTGGGAAGTCTACAAACTGAGTGTCTTTTGGGTTAACAATTGCTTGTAGAACTGACATAGCATCAGTCAGAAAGACCACTCTGCTATATTTGCTGTGCTGTTGACCATTCAGGAAAGAACATGTAATTTGTATTTAGCTGCTGTGCCCCAAGATACTCCATGCCATAACGTCAAACTGTCTAGCATCTTCTCACTTGGCTTTTATTCTCTCTCATGACGTGACCAAAAGCATGTGAATTGTCTGCTCTCGATGTGGGTATTAGGTTGTATTCTTCGTGGGTCCGTTTTCTTCAATGCATCTTTATATCTTTTTTTTTAAAATCTGTGCAATGTGTTCCCATCATTCGTGTATAAAACCACTTCTTCACCGCTCTAATATAATTGTTTACTATTCGCCTAACTATCTTAATTTCCATATACCAGGATAGGATATAGATCTTGAGAATTATCTTTCTCATTATAGTCAACAAAGCAAGATTTCTTAGATTATTCCGCATTTTATGTAATGCTACCGTTGCACATTAACATAGAATCCATTGACAGTAAAATGTCAACAACAGCAATAACAACAACAACAAAAATACAAGGAAGCATAGACTGTAACACAAAGACATATCTAATGTATATGGAGGCTGTGACAACGAAATATCTTAAACATGGGGTTACTTTTGGCAGTGAAGAACATGACTAATTTAGGCTCAATCGCAGACCGTCAGTAAGGAAGAAAAGACAACAATAGAATAATACGAAGGAAGAGGAATAAGAAAGAAGAAGAAAAAAGGGAAGGAAGAAAAGAAGAAAAAAGAACAAAACGAAAAGAAGAAGAAGAAGAACAACAACCACGAATGTCAGATCCGACGACAAACAGAACACCAAAGATTAAAAACCATAGGCTGGACATATACGCCTCTTACCTGAGCAGGTCCACTGCTACCGGGTACCAGGTAACATTGGGTCCAGTCATCAGGTAGAACCCCGTGTCTGCCTGACCCCACGACCCCCACTCCCATGCCGTAGTCCCAGGTCTGCTGGTGATGCTGCTGCGGCTGGCGACCATGCAAATGGTGTTGCAGATGAGATGGATGCTCCGTCTGGGACGTCTGCGCCAAAGAGGAAATGGAGAAAGTTAAAAGTTAAAGGAGAAATTACAAACTATAGACCGCTGAATCCGGAGACTCAGCCAAGGCTGTCTTTAATATAGGCCAAGTCACATGTCCTGTCAGCTCTAATCCGTTTGCTAACACACGTGTCTAGTTTGAAGACTACATTGGCTCAGTCTCCCTGAAAAGACCCCAGCCCCACCCAAATATATTGGGGGGAAAAGGGCTGTGGGTGTTTTCCCCCTCCCCAATAATTTTGTAAGAAGGTAAGCAGCCTTCAGTAACCATGCACAGAAATATCCTTGAAGATTATCTGTTTATACATTTAAAACTGTCTCAAATATATTATGTTTCTTGACCACTTATCACATTATTATTATGCCCTGAAACTAGGATCAGATTCCCTGTTTCCCCCGAAATGTCCATACTTTTTGTGTGGGTACGCCTGCTTCAATTTAAAAAGCACCTCTGTAAAATAGAGGAACAATTCACAGGATAGAATGGAATGTAGGAACTTCGTGCGAGCCCTATGTGCAGGAGTTTGGTGGTAGACACTATAGGAACACAAACAGTGGTCCTGGCCTTGTGTCAAAACCGATCGTTCGGTTAACATAATGTGTATAACCTGTTGGCATGCTTCCTCTCACTGGTATTTCCTGTTAACAAAAAAAAAAAAAAAAAAAATGCAGCGTACAAGTCGACCTCCAGAATTTGAGCTCAATTTATTAGTTACTAGATTTAATTGTCCGGCTCTCGCGATAGTGTAAAAACGCCTTATTCTCCCGTCCTCTACCTGGTCTTCATGGCTGCCCTATATGTAGGCCTAGTGGAAATAGGGGTCTAACTAAAACCCTATATTTAATATCGCGAGTTCTATTTCAATTTTCTCTCCAATTCCGCCGCTGTCGTATGTTTTAGTCATGGCCCCTAAGTGCACCCCAGACATCCCCTGTAATACTAAAACCAGTATTTATCAGTGTGTGGGATAGACAGATGTATGGTTTTAGACACATAGATATGTAATTTCAAGGAAGCTGAGAGCGAAATATAATGTTCAAAAATGATCTTTTCAAGGGAAGTAATCAAAAGTATATCATTGTTGACTGTCGAATTAAATAAAGAAATGCACAATAATTTTGGCCGCCAATGTGACTGTTGAATTAACATTATTCTCATAAAATATAAATAAAATTCTAGCCCTTGTAATGGTCACTGTTTGTTAGGGGGTTAACACTTCATGTATAATAAAAAGAAAAAACACGAAACACAGAAAGGGTTTGTGATTTATAGTATATATACCTATACAAGCCATCCACTTCTAAAAGCAGACTTACTTACATAAGTGATAAAAAAAAAATAAAAGACAATTTTCCACGCCTTTAGGTGTATTGGGCATATAGGGCTAGATCTACATTTTATAAACCAATCGGCACTTGGTAGGCGATGTGGTCAGCATCACACAGGCCGCTTTTACTTCCCAGGACTGCAGCTGGTACCCTCTCATTGTTTGCTGTCGCGTTAATATAAGCTATAAACTGCTGAATTTTTATCAGTTCTCATTTAACATTAGTTGACAATATATATATATATATATATATATATATATATATATATATATATATATATATATATATATATATATATATATATATAATACAAATAATGTTCTTTCGTTTGCTTGTAATAGATTATATATATCTGCAGTGTTGTCTCTAGTATGAACTTCACTGTTTTTTGTGGTTGACTTGCACCGATGTTTCTCTCGGCCAAAGGTTTTCCATTGATATGTTGTATTAGGGACATCGTTGGATGAGGTGATCTGTTGTATTTTGAACAGTCTTGGAGGACATGATCTGTTGTATTAGGGACAACGTTGGAGGAGGTGATCTGTTGTATTTGGGACAGTCTTAGAGGCCGTGATTTGTTGTTTCAGGTGCCAATCCACATATGCACATGGCTGATACGCCGATTTTAAATTTCGTGTACACGTGGCTGTGAAATCCACTGTGTTATGTTCTAAGGCGTAGAATTATTATCATATATTACTTTTACTATACTATACTACTACTACTACTACTACTACTATTACTACTACTACTACTACTACTACTACTACTACTATTACTACTACTACTACTACTACTACTACTACTACTACTACTACTACTACTACTACTACTACTACTACTACTACTACTACTACTACTACTACTATATTAACTTTGTGCGAATACGAAATGTTCACCAAACATCATGTATTGCTGGAACCTTTCTTTTATATTGTTATCGTTGTCAGATCACGGCCCACTATAGCTTTTTATAAGGCCATCCAAGTCAATGAAAATTCCCGATTTCGAGCAACTCCGAGAGGCCGGTGTGTGTTCACTATGCTTATCGTGTAGGTTTATACACAAATTAATCTAGTTTCGTTAATTTGCTACTCGTTTATTTCTTAAATTAGTTATCATTTTGAAGACAAATTAGTGTGCTATTAGAATATATAATAATAATAATATAAATCACACTAATTTATGTTGAAAATTATAATTTAAAAAAAAAAAACGTTTGCAAATTAATGACAACTAGTTTAAGTTGTGTATCAGTCTACTGGATAAACATAGT